ATTTATCTATGATACATGTTTTGTCTTACAGTAGTTTTGAATTTTCGGGAACATTTTTTATATAATTCATAAGCCATAAAACAGTGGTTATTCTGAGAATTAATAATTTTTAAATTGAGTCTGCTAGATAAGAATGTTTTAGTTATAAGTTTATTAAACTTTGTCAAAGATCCATTGTGGTAAAAATATCTATTAAAATCTTAACTTTTCATAATGGCATCAAAAGAGCTGTCACACTCATCTAATTGCAGAACTTTTTTTTTTTTAAAACATGGGATCTTGAACAGTTCTTTTTTCTAAAACCTAAACATAATGCAATATTTTTGTCATTATCGTTGTTCTGTTTTATTATCACTTTTGTCCCACATGGTCTAGACAGAATTAAGTGAATGTGGATAAACAGGCCAGATTATATTACACATTTATAAAGGTTTAGCTAAAATTTTTCTGTGACTTTTCTCACATCTAAAGTAGAGAAGAAAACACAAATTATTTATTTAACTAGATGATTCACAATATTTTTAAGGATGTAATATACTGGACCTCTCAGATAAACATAATCCTTGCTGTTTTCAACAGTGTGTTAAGTCAGTGATTTTGAATTGTGTCCCCTCGATCACATGGAAACTTCTTAGAAATACAAATTCTTAGGCCCCATTCCAGGCCTATTGAATCAGAAACTCTGTGGGCAGGACAGCTCTCCAGATGATTCTGAGGTATGCTTAAATTTGAAAAGCACAGTTATAAACTGAGAATGATAAACTCTTTTTAATATGATTTGTAACAAGGTAGATGAAGTTACTTTTGAGCTGGGCCTTAAAGAATGAGTCATAAGTCCTGGAGAACTATTGTACAGCATGACAATATAATAACAATGTATAGTATATTTTAAATTGTTAAGAATGTAGATTTTACATGTTTTCATCAAAAAAAGGTATGTGAGGTGATAGATATATTAACTTGACTTAAACATTCCTCAATGTATATATATCAAAAGACCACACTGTACACCATAAATATACAATTTGTCATTTATAAAAATTAAGAATGAGTCAAAATTCTCTACACCGTATTTTTCCTTTAGCTAAACAAATTTTGATATGTTTTGGAAAACCAATAGATTTGACATTGTGACGTTATAAAAAAGAGCACTTAATTTGAAATTTCCTATAAGGTTTCATCCTGGAGTATAATTTAGTATTATGCATCAAAAGCCCAGCAATTACACTTCTAAGAACTTTTCCAAAGGAAATAGTTTGCTCAAATGTACAAAAATGGGCATAAAATAAGCTTTATCAAGGCATTGTTTCTGATAGTAAAATTGGGAATCTACCTCAGTGTCTACTACTTAAATAAACTATGGTATATAATTCTGATGGAATTCTAAGTATTCATTAAAATTATTATTTAGATATTTATTTATTGATGTGGAAGAATATTTACAATAATTACGATTAAATGAATTAAGATGATAAAATTATATGTCTGTATGAGTCAAATTTGGTTAAAATAGCTATATATATATTAATTTATAGCTCCACATGCATAGAAAAAAATAAGTATGGAAGGTTATACACCAAATTGTTAACAATGGGAATTCTGTTTTTATATCTCTCTATACACACACACACACACACACACACACACACAAACACGTATGTATATGTACACATATATATGCACACATATAGAGAGACAGATATAAAATTTGTTGGGTTTTGCTTATCTCTGTTTTCTAAAGTGAAACTCTATTTCTTGTGTGGAGAAATAATAAAAGTTTAAAAACAACATAATCTAATCTAAGATTTTTAAGCAGACTTCTTATACAATCTCACCATTATTGACTAGAAACACTCATTGTAGAAACTATTGTATTTGTCCTGGAAGAAACTAATTCATCATATAAAAATTCACTGTCAAGTTTAGTGGTCTAAAATCTGGCATCGGTTTATTTCTCAGTATTTGCATTATTATTAGATAATTAACAAAAATGTGGTTTTCATCATAGAAGGTTTTAGAAAAGTGGAAATTGTTCTGCAGTATGAAGCAAGTGATGCAGGTTGAGCTGTTGCCACTAACTTTCTGTGTGAATTTGAAAATTTTAGTACTCCGTTTTTTGGCCTTGGTTTTCTCAAATAGAAATAACTCAGAACATTTTGATGGCTGTTAACAGCTCTAATATTCTAGGAATCTAGAATGCATTTAGAAACAAAACTATCTTTAGAGAAATAAATGAGGAAGTATGGAGGCTGAAAAAATAAAATAAAATAAACCCAAACCCTCTAAAAGACCCTTTAAAGGATTCTGCTTCTGAAGTTACACAGGATGTTGTTGGTACTTCTCGCCCTGTGTGATTTCTCCCTTAATGGAATTTTAAATCAAAGTACTTGTTAAATGTCAAAAAGTATTTGAACCTTGGTATAGTTATGACACCTAGTGGTCACATCAAACATCACAGCTAAATTCTACCCCCCACCCCACCCACCCCCCGACACTCATTCTCTTCCTTTCATTGGGATCTTTTTTTAATTATTTTTTTCAGATGCATGTATTTATCATGCATTCAGTTATTCACTCAACAAGCACTTAGTGGACCCTTTACATGTTCATGGCACTTTACTGGACACTTTACTATAAAGAAAAGCAAGAAGTAAAATAATATGTCTTTGATACGTAGAAGATTGCTATGTATTTAGGGCAACAAAATAGACCCCATAGAAAGGCAAATAACTACACCGTGCTGAATTTGTTAAATGCATTCCCACTAAAGAAAATGATCAGAACTATGGATAGTCTGTGGCCAGCCAGAGGAGTGGCTTGCGATTTGGAGAGATCAAGAAAGGATTCATAGAAGAAGTGGAACTTGCCTTTATTGGGGCCTCAGTTTCCCCACCTGAAAAACAGCAATAATATTTTATTGTTTCATAGAATTATTATCAGACATTGAGACACAGTATATATAAAGTACTTAGCATAGCACCTAGCCCAAATTAGGTACTCAGTGATTGTTATTTTATAACAAAACTAAAGACTTTGTGTATATTGTTTTTCTTAATTTTATTTTCTTAATTTTACTTTATTTCAAGTTTACATGGTGTTTTAAAATTTAGACTGAATTTACAGAACACAAAATCAATTATTTTAGTTAGTTCAATGGATAAACAGAAAACCACAAGAAAAGATAGTGCTGACTCTATCTTTAGATGAACATAATGAACAGTTTAGATAGAAATAAGCTTTACTACTTTTACTACTTTTATTTTTAGCTAGAAATAAACAGTTTACTAGACTAACTGTCCGATTCAGCAAAATAGCTAATTCACAGAAAAGAAAATCATTCAAAGTAGCTGTTTGCCTGAATGAGCTAGTTGTGTTATTGCAATGAACTGTCAGCTCAGTAAATAGTCTATCTGGAAGCTCCGCGTAGTCAGTGAAAAGACATCAAATAGATTGCTTGGCACTGTATGGGCTGTATGTGGGTAGACTGCATTTGTATACTTTTTTTTGGTTGTGTTTTGGACACTGTCTTAAATCTTATGCTGTTTTCCAAACTCATATTTCAAGAATTGTTGCAAAAATGCTAATTTACTTTTGCACTTGAGTACTAGGTAGTTAGTGTTAATTAAGACTGTCTCATTTTTTTTTTTAATACCATAAACATGTGTAGCAATCTAAGTGTGTTTGCAAGCAACAAAAAGTACAGGGGAGTATTAAAAACCCATTTATCCTTTTGTTTCTGCAATCAGAAGCATAGTCATATATTTGCTAAAAGAATCAAACATTTATGTAGTTAAACTGTCGTTTTCAAGGGTAAAATAAACTGTACTATAGTAGCTTTTGGCAAAAACCCATAATGGTCTCAAAGAAAAGAAAACCAAGAGCAAGGATCATGTCATATTATTTAGAAATGAGTGTTTAACCTGAAGAAGAAAGATTTGAGCGAGGACAGGATTGCTGTCTTCATATATTTGAAGATGTGTAACATGACTTTATTTTATTTGGCCTTAGCAGGCAGAAATAAGTTGAAATGATAGAACAGATTTGACTCACTAAAGGGAAGAAAATTCTAACTATTCACTTTTAAAAGTTGAACCATCTACAATAATAGTTTTCATAGGACTTGCCCTGAGAAATGAAAGAGAGATACATGCTTTTTACTATATCTACTACCAGATACACTCTAGTCCTTCACATACTCTGGTAGTTGCCTAAAGTGGTTGCAAGGATAGTCCCAATGAATGTGAATGTCTGAGGTTACCATAATTATGTTAATAAACACAGAACTTTAGTTATAGGAGCTTCTGAAAAGTACAATGACATATAAGGAAGACAAATTTTGCGCTCTGCCAAATTCTGAAGGAGGCAAAGGTTATCTGAGTAGCACTGTCTTTTCCAAGCCCCTATCATTCCGAGGACTGGTAACCTGCCAGCCCTTCCTCAGGCTCCTATCCTATGTCTTATTCACAAAGGTTCACAGATTTGCCTTGGCAGTCACCTAATTATTTACAAGGTTGACAATGAATTAAATTTTCTCTCTCCCAGGGTTGCTGATGAGGGATTCATTTAGAACTTAAAGTTTGAAAATACAGATGAAGACAGTAAAACTAAAATGTGTAACCTCTTGACAGTTTTGAAATTTATGTCTGGGGACTATTTTGCGGTAGGGTCTTGCCTGTTGGTTAGGTCTACAAGTTTGATTACTTCTCTGTTAAATACTAAGGGAGAAATATAACTGAAGTTATTGCAAAAATACTAATCTTTTGGATTCCTGAAAATGTCATCCTCAATACTGTTATCCATTTGTAGATTAGTATGCTATTTTTAGTTTACATAGGCATTTCTGAATTTATAAAAGTTTGCACAAATTCTTCTTTATTAGAAAACAAATACATTTGTATACCCAAACATGAACTGACATGCCCTTGATTCTATTTTTACTCTATTTTCTGCCAAAATTGTCATTCTAATGCTTTACTAAGGAAGGAACCTAAGTCTTCAAGATGGGAAGTAACAGCACCAACAGCACAAGAGCAAAGTGCACTGATCTTCAAATGCCATTTCAGTACTCCCTGTATGAAGCTACTTATATCCTTATATTCATACCTGGTTTTCTGGCCAACACTGTGACCTTGTGGGTTCTGCGTCACTTCATTAACAAGAAAAATAAAGCCATCTCTGTGGCTGAGCTTGCACATGTGTTGTCCTTACCCTTCTGGATTTACTATTACATCAGCCACCACTGGCCTTTCCAGGGACCCCTTGGCCTAGTGTGCTTCTATCTGAAGTATCTCAACATATATGCCAACATTTGCTTCCTGACATGCATCAGCCTTCAGAGGTGCTTCTTTCCCTCAAGAGCTTCAGAGCCGGAGACTGGAAGCGTAGGTATGACGTGGGCATCAGTGCTGCCATCTGGGTCATCATGGGGACTGCTTGTTTACCATTTCCCATTCTGAGAAGCACTGGCTTAGGCAACAACACCGAATACTGCTTTGCTGCCTTAGGTCTTCAGCACATTAACATGACTTCCTCCCTTGGCATAGTGACTGTAGCTGAACTTGGAGGGTTTCTATTACCCTTTATAATTATTACTTATTTCACATGGAAAACAAGAAAATCTTTACAGGAATTCCAAGTTCCCCCTAGGAATACCAAAGAGAGGAAAAAGGCTTTGAGGATGGTCCTGATGTGTGAAATGGTGTTCCTTGTGTGTTTCACTCCTTACCATCTCAACTTCCCATTCTTTATGATGGTGAAGGAACATGTCTTTTTGAACTGCTCTTTTATTAAGAGCACTCTCTGTTTCTACATTATTTCCCTGTCTCTTGCAAATCTGAATTGTTGTCTTGATCCAGTTGTATATTATTTTATGACCTCAAAATTTCGTGATCGATTTTCAGATCATGGCAGCTTGGTTCTTCAGTCATGTATGAGATGCAATGACAGTACCTTAGAAATTCATCAGAGAAAGAAGGATCTTCAAACTATCTCTCTTGATTGTTTCAATGATTCCAAGACAATATAATCAAATAATTAACTAGAAAAATCGATATGCTCTATTAATGTAGCTATGTCACTTTGAAGATTTTTCTTAAAAGTGGTGTTGAATATCTTAAACATGGCTCCTTCCCTTTAACCTCAAAATGATCCTTCTGAAGAAATTATACATGTATAAATTTTCTGTCAGAATGGAAACATATTGTTCTATGGAGCATGTGAAAAAAATCTTTCCTTACAGAAGATGATGAGCAACAGAATGAATTGCACACCTATTTCAGAGCAGTAGATTCAATCTTTTCTTCTTCTGAGAGAAACAAATATACATTGAAAACAGGTGAATTGTCCAAATATTGAAAAGCATACAGGAGAGCAGTATGACCATAGCTTTCTTTAGAAAATATTCACTACTTGAGCAAACAAGATTATAGAGAAAAGGCTTTTTAATATCAATATGAGTTATGTTAATTAACATCCTTATAACTTGGAATACTGATGAGATTTTTCTTTGGTCTCCTCTGGGAAATAAACAATTCAGATGAACTTCAAATATCTCAACAGTATCATGGGATTCACACAATGAATACACCTTAAACAAAAAATAAAGTTATCTCCTTACATATTTCACAAACTTGAGTTTCAGGGCTTACAATGAAGGTTTTTTGCTTGAATGTCTGTGAATATGTATGATGTGATGTAGGTTTTTATATAACAGCACTCATTCGGAAAATATTTTGTTATATGTGTTCATTAAAATCAACTGTGCATAGTCTGCCTAAATTGATTGCTGTATATACAACCTCAGTCACAACTTTACTTGGTATGTTTAAATCAATGAGTTAATTTTTAAAAATCACACACACGCCTATGTTATTTCAGTGGTAAATTCTAGCTAAACCTCATTTTTCACAAGTAAATATATATTTAAGGACAACATGGGTGAGTTGAATCTTATTATAAATGCCAAATGGAAATTTTCTGTTTTTAAAATCTCTATGACTAAATCATTTTTATAATACAAATTACTCCTATTGGAAAATTTGAAAGTTAAATTTTCATGTAGTGGATTTCATTAAAATGATACTTTAAAAAGCGATGGTTAGTTTTTTAAAACTATACAAGGTTGTTTTCTTGTCCTTATAAGATTAGAAATTCACAAAATGGCTTGTTATATTTTCTTTTTTGGACCTTTAAATGTTTGGACATTTAAATGTTTTTTTGAACATTTAAAACATCACTTTAGTTGCAGATATTTCTGAAACATATACATCTATATATATCTTACCCACTTAAGCAGTTTGTTAAACAAGGGACCATGGTGTATGAAAGAAGCATTAATCCATATTCAGAGGACCAGGATCCTAGTTTCTGGTCTCCCACAGAGAAGCTATGTGATCTTGGGCAAGTTATTTCTCTTTGGGTTTCCGTTTCATTATCTGTACGTAAGGGGGCTGAACTAGATGAAATAAATATGAGACCTATTTTTTAGAAAGTGCTTTCTTTTTTTTTCTTTTGTGTTTTTTTTTTTTTCGGTTTTTTTTTTTTTTTTTTTTGAGATGGAGTCTCACTCTTGTCACCCAGGCTGGAGTGCAGTGGCGCGATCTCTGCTCACTGCAACCTCTGTCTCCTGGGTTCAAGCAATTCTCCTACCTCAGCCTCCCGAGTAGCTGGGATTACAGGCGCCTGCTACCACACCCAGCTAATTTTTGCATTTTTAGTAGAGATGGGGTTTCTCCATGTTGGCCAGGCTGGTCTCGAACTCCTAACCTCAGGTGATCCACCTGCCTCGGCCTCCCAAAGTGTTGGGATTACAGGTGTGAGCCACCACGCCTGGCCTAGAAAGTGCTTTCTAGGTACTAAAGACATTTACAAATGTTTAAGTTGTTGTTGTTTTTAGTAGTAGTAATAGTATTGTTATAATTTAAGGAGAACCAACTCTAACGTTTAATATACTCTTTTCAGAGTGACTGAAGGTCATCATTATAAATATTAGTTATCGTACTGTATACATTGCTTCTTTCAGGGTTATTAAAATCTGTAGGATTGTTTGTACATACACTAAAATAGCCCCATGTAATTAATTTAATTTAATTTAATTTAATTTAATTTAATTTAATTTTATGTATTTATTTATTTATTTATTTTTGAGACAGAGTCTCCCTCTATTGCCCAGGCTGGAGTGCAGTGGCACAATCTTGACTCACTGCAACCTCTGCCTCCTGGGTTCAAGTGATTCTTCTGCCTCCGCCTCCCAAGTAGCTGGGACTACAGGCGTTTGCCACCATGTCCAGCTAGTTTTTTTTTGTATTTTTAGTAGAGACGGGGTTTCACCATATTGACCAGGCTGGTCTCGAACTCCTGATCTCATGATCCACCCACCTCAGCCTCCCAAAGTGCTGAGATTACAGGTGTGAGCTTCCACACCCAGCCAAATTTTTAAAATTTATGTAGTGATTATATCTCCACCTTTTAAAGTTCTCAATACTCATTTCTTGCTACAGTCAGCACAGCTGTCTGATGTAATCTGTATTGTTTTGATGAGTTCTTTCTAATTGTGTGTGTGTGTGTGTGTGTGTGCGTGTCTTTGAAAATACTAATACAGCTAGTTAGAACAGAGCTTTAACTTAATAAAAATGAGTAAAATCCTGCTTGTTTTACTTGGAAATAATGTGTAGAAAAGTGAAATCTCCTATAGAACAGAGTGTGGGTTTTAGTTTATGAACTTTATGACATCTATTCTATCAATTCGGGACTCATTGTGCTTGCTTTCTGGCTCTGTCAGCTGTATTTTGATAGATGGGGTTGCTGGATATTTGAGCTCTGAATCACTGAGGTATTAGCTGGTTTTGATGCCTAAAATTTCTTGGAATATAAATATCACCACACACACACACACACACACACACACACACACACACACACACACACGTATAGTTAAATTTCCAAAATTATTATTTGTTTCACCAAAAGCATAGTATATTCAAAACTACTTTTGTATTGCTCTTAGATTATTTTCTATTTGTCATAATGCTTTAAAAAAAAATTTGCTCATTCTGTCCACTGCTTCCTTCCTCTTTAGGGGCACTTTGTGAAAATTCCCCTATGTATCTGAAATCCTATCTGAGACACATTAATCCATTTTTTGCAATCAGCCTGTTATTAACATGAATAATGATCATTATCCATTAAGCTTATAGAAGCAGAGAAAACAGACTGGCTGACCAACACTGTTATCAGAATTTTCTGGAAATCTCCTTTTTATACTTAGTTCTAGAGAAAGGACTATATGCAGTAACTCTGATCTATTATTTTTGGGGCCAGTCAAATGTTAACTCCATCTCTCTACTTCCTGTTCCCTGAAACACTATAGCACAATAGTTTAAATAATAGGAAGATTGAGTTTGCCGCTTAACCACTTGATACTAAATAAAGTTGGGTTCTAGTCTTAGCTCTGCTCTTTCTTAATGGTGTGATCTTGAGCAAGACAATTTACCACCCTGAAGCTGTCTTCTCATCTGCTATACCATGGAATAATATCTGCCTTTTGTGCTGCACAAGACTGTTGTGAAGATCCAGTAAGAAATGAAGATGAGAATTATTTTGAAATCATAATGACTATTTAAATATGAGGACACATAAAGAACATATAGTATTAAGAATGAAATCAGGGAAGGGAGATAAAGTGCCCTCCTCAACTCATAGCAACACAGAGGATATTAATAAATATTGTAAACCCCTTATTTGTGCCTTAGAAAATAATGAAGGCTTGAAGTGGCGCTCAGGGTCAAGACAACACTGATGCCCCTTGAAGATAACAGAGAGGAACCATTTAACTGGGCCCCTACCATCAATTAGTTAGGTCCAGTTTTCCAGTACAGTGAGTTATGCTTAGTGCCAAGGATCTCTGAAAAATTCAAATATCAGAGATTGACCATAGCCTTAGGGAAACAATGGAGATCCTATATTGTATAGTCAGTGTCCCCTATAAATATATTCCGTAGATGGGAAGCCAGGTCTTTAGAACTTTGGGAAGGAATGAATTTGAGACAAATCTAAAAGAACTTTACAACTGCAAAGGGAACAGCTGAGGGCGGGAATAGGTTACCTAGCGGTATTGTTTGGCCATGTATAGATTTGCTGAGGGACCGTTAAATGTTCAAAATACTTTCTTCATTCAATGCAGTTCCTACAATCTCTGATCTAGTTAATTAAGTCAAATAACCAAACCTGCATAAATATAAAATAGGAAAAACTCAAAGTCTCTTGAAAAATCATTAAACATTCACATTTCTGGCTCTGTTCATACTGTTTCTCTGACATGCCTGCCTTTACCCCTCCTCTCTGTCTATGTAGTTTTACAAATCATGTATGATTCAGTTTAAATTCTATTTCCCTGTGAAACCATATTTTCTCTCCTAGACTGTAAAGTCCATGAGGGCACCCACAATTTATTGTACTATATGACATATTGAATTTGAATCTATTTTCTTACAGGGAAAATAAGAATTTGGAAGTTTATCTTACTGGAATGATTAGGGCCTGCATATTTCTCACTCTATGGAAGAAACAGAGTGACTATATAATTAGTCTAGCTCTCCCAGCATCAGAAAAATGGTAGGTGCTTAATGAATGCCTGTCGAGTGGCTTAAAAGAAAATACATAGTGATTGGTTAGATGACCAAAAGACTCATCCCTATACAATTGACATCAATAAATATGACAAGGTTTATGCATTAATTCCCTCTGTCTTTAATTACTATGACAACCACTAAGAGTTATGGGCCTGAAAAGAGATTCTTACAACTAATACCTGTCATTACAGTCACTGTATTTTGGCCTATTCATTGAATTTGTTGAATATAAATAAGAACAATGTCTGGCTGGCTCTCAGTTTCCTAAGTAACTATACTACAGTACACTCTGAATTTTGTCGTTATGTAAAATGTGTAAGCTGTGCTTTAAAGATGTTTCAGGATAGTTGCTTCTTTCTTGTTTTGATTGTGGTTGTTGCTATTAATGGTGAATAAT